GGTGGTTGCCTTATAGATTACAGTATGATTCCTTAACTTATTACCATCTGCCTTGAATGAATTCTTACCCTTCACATACAATGTAAGTATGTTACCACAACTTCATTTCCCACTTTGGGTATTTGTTATTGGTGTCACGTGTTTCACTATTACTTAGTTTATAAACCCCATACATAATACTTTGTGTGTTTTTTTAAAAGACATATTTTTTTTACTTTAAAGAGGAAGGGAGAGGGGGAGAGAGAGAGAGAGAGAAACATCAATGATGAGAGAGAATCATTGATTGGCTGCCTCATGCACACCCCCTACTGGGGATCAAGCCTGTAACCTGAGTATATGCCCTTGATCAGAATAGAACCCGGGACCCTCAGTCTGCAGGCTGACGCTCTATCCTCTGAGCCAAACCAGCTAGGGCCATAACACATTGTTAACATTACTTAGTCAACAGTCTTCTGGAGAAATCTAAAAATATGATCTTTTGTATTTACCTGTACATTCACTTTCTGGCATCGGAAAGTGGGGGTGGGAGAACATTTCCTTGGCACTAGTCTCAGCTGGCACATTCTTAGGAATGCTTTATAGGATGGCTTCTGGCCTGGGCTTAGCTAGATAGTCTCTTGGAAATGTTCCAGAAGAAATGAAGTGGGATTCTCTTGGTAGTCATTCCTTAACGTGGACAAGAATTGGGAGATGAATTCAGCTGCTTGGCACTTTCCTGTCACACTTGGCCTGCATAGCATTTTGATAAAACACCTGGCTGGGAGTGGGCATAGCTTATCCTGCCAGCCCTTAACTAGCCTGGGCAACCATCTGGAGACTGCGTGGGAGTCGGGTTAATGGTGTCAACTGAATGTAAATGAATCAGGAGGCTTGCCAAAATCGAAAATGACCAAATTTTATTCAAGGGTCTTAGGGTTTACAAATTGGAAATACTACCAGGTAAGCACTCAGAGTGTCCCCCCCCCCCCGCAAAAAAAAAAAGAGAGAGAGAAAGGTTGAGAGTTCTTATAGTAAAAATTACATCTTTGAAAAGAAATAGTATTGCATTCTGAGTCTCTGGATTGGTCTGAGATGGTAATCTTCCAGATGTCTGGTGGTTTGGACACATGAACATTCTTTCCTTCGTTCTTTATTTTTATTTTTATTTTTATTTTTAAAGATTTTTAAAATTTATTTCAGAGAGGAAGAGAGAGAGAGAGAAACATCAGTGATGAGAGAGAATCATTGATCAGCTGTTTCCTGCACACCCTACACTGGGGATCAAGTCTGAAACCTGGGTATGTGCCCTGACAGGGAATCAAACCATGACCTCCTGGTTCATAGGTCGACACTCAACCACTCAGCAACACCGGCCAGGCTAAATCACAAATATCAGTATGAGCACGTGATGTATCTTCTCTCTGAAAGTATTATTTTCTTAGCTGAAATACAATCTAGAAATAACGAACAGCTCAGTGTCCAGGGACATGCCTACTGTGGCTTCTCAAGTACCATTTCTCATTAAAAGGAACCAGGGCTCCTTGGAGAAATGGCTGATTCCAGTTCTGAGGCAGGAACTATACGAGATGAGCCTGGAATACCTTGTTGCATTAGAAGCAAGGAAAGTATGAAAGACTCATGAAGACTCCTGAGACTGTATCTAAAGAGCTCAGCAGCTGACTTGTAGTGGCTCTTGCTGGCCAGGGAATGGGACAATTTGAGCATCAGAAAGAATAAAAATGAACCAATAAAACATCAAATCTTAAAATCCATGACTTCATCATTGGTTACCTCTGGAGAAACCAGGTCATACCTTTAGAAAAATGAGAAAGAGGAAGAAGCAGGCATTGATCCTGCTTTTCCTGAACCAACTGTGCCCCAGGGTAACCAAATCGATGATAAGGGAAGTTTTCTTTGTAGAGGATTTCCAGCTAATACATGAAGAAGAAATGATAGAATCCCACCATTTTCGAACTCCTGATAACAGCAAGGGACAAGGACCATCCACGACATCTAAACACCATTTAGTGAAAAGTTGATGGGATCATTATAATGGATGGATAGCATGTTCCTTCTAGTGTGATAACAATATGACATTGAACATCATCCATGAAGTATTTTTTTTACATTTATGTAAAGGAATGCATATATATGTGTGTGTGTGTGTGTGTGTGTGTGTGTGTGTGTGTAATTGATTTGAGAGAGGAAGGGAGAAGGAGAGAGATAGAAACATCAATGATAAGAGATAATCATTGGCCCTCGCCGGCTTGGCTCAGTGGATAGAGCGTCAACCTGCGGACTGAAGGGTCCCAGGTTTGATCCCGGCCAAGGGCACATGCCTGGGTTGCGGGCTCGATCCCCAGTAGGGGGTGTGCAGGAGGCAGCCGATCAATGATTCTCTCTCATCATTGATGTTTCTATCTCTCTCTCTCCTTCTCCCTTCCTCTCTGAAATCAATAAAGAAATACATTAAAAAAAAAAGGTAATCATTGATTGATTGCCTCTCGCACGCCCTACACTGGGAATTGAGCCCGCAACCTGGGCATGTGCCCTGACCAGGAATCAAACCCCAACCTCCTGGTTCATAGGTCAACACTCAATCACTGAGCCATGCCAGTGGGCCATCCATGAAGTATTTTTACAAAAAAATTTTTTTTTTTAAATTAAATCTTTATTGTTCTGATTACATTTGTTCCTCTTTTTTTCCCATAACTCCCCTTCTCCCAGTTCCCGCCCCACCCTCCGCCCTCACTCCCCACCCACTGTCCTCATCCATAGGTGCACGATTTTTGTCCATTCTCTTCCCGCATCTCCCATTCCCCTTCCCCCCCCCCCCCCCAAGAATAGTCAGTCCATTCCCCTTCTATGTCCCTGATTCATTGTAATCACCAGTTCATTCTGTACATCAGATTATTTATTCACTTGATTCTTAGATTCACTTGTTGATAGATGCATGTTTGTTGTTCACAATTTGTATCTTTACCTTTTTCCTCTTCCTCTTCTTAAAGGAAACCTTTCAGCATTTCGTATAATACTGGTTTAGTGGTGATGAAGTCTTTTAGCTTTTCCTTATCTGTGAAGCTCTTTATCTGACCTTCAATTCTGAATGATAGCTTTGCTGGATAAAGTAATCTTGGTTGTAGGTTCTTGGTATTCAGTACTTTGAATATTTCTTGCCATTCCCTTCTGGCCTGCAAAGTTTCTGTTGAGAAATCAGCTGACAGTCGTATGGGTATTCCCTTGTAGGTAATTGAGTCTCTTTCTCTTGCTGCTTTTAAGATTCTCTCTTTGTCTTTTGCTCTTGGCATTTTAATGATGATGTGTCTTGGTGTGGTCCTCTTTGGATTCCTTTTGTTTGGGGTTCTCTTCGCTTCTTGGACCTGTAAGTCCATTTCTTTCACCAGGTGGGGGAAGTTTTCTGTCATTATTTCTTCAAATAGGTTTTCAATATCTTGCTGTCTCTCATCTTCTGGCACTCCTATTATTCTGATGTTGGTACGCTTGAAGCTGTCCCAGAGGCTCCTTACACTATCTTCACACTTTTGGATTCTTTTTTCATTTTGCTTTTCCAGTTGGGTGTTTTTTGTCGAATCTTTGGTTTGATTCTTGTGCTCCTCTGGTCTGCTATTGGGTATAATATTCTTTATTTCAGTCCGTGTATGCTTACTTTCTAATTTTTTTATCGTAGCATCGAGGGTCTCATTAGTTTTCGTGAGGCTCTGCTCAAGTTTATAGCAAGCCCTCAAAATTGCGATTCTTAGCTCCATATCCTCCATTTCTGTAATGTTTTTTTGTCTCCGCATCTTTTATGCTTTCTTGGTGCACCCCCTTGTGGTCTTTGTGCGCAGTCTTGTTCTAGCCAAGCCTTAATTGTTGTAGTTAACACTAGAGGGATTTGACCACCAGGCCGACTGGCTGTAGGAACCAGCCTTGTGGAAAACGTCTGTCTTCTGGGAAGGCGCTAATCCAGCCCTTGCCTGAGGCGATCGGCAAATGGCTCTGTGCAGGGCTTGGGCGGGGCGGGCTCAACAGGGCCGGCGGAGGGAGCAGTTATGGCCGCTCTCAGTCCCGTTCCCAGAGCTCTGCTTCTCAGAACCCCGGCAGCCGCTGCAAACCTCGGAGAGAAAGCTGCCCTCAGGTTCCCAACTGATGCCGGATAATCCCGCTTCTCCCGTCTGAGTCTGAATCCCCAGAGACTCGCCCGGATCTGGAGCCCAGAGTCTGAGACTCACTCCCGACCGAAAACGACAACCGCGCCCTCAGCCACCAGCCCGCTTTCGCGCGCACCTCGGTACCTTTGTATTTTCCACACTGCACCTCCTCTGAGCCTCGGTTTGCTGTTCTCTTTCCTTCTAGTTGTAGAGTCTCTCTTCAGCCAGCCTTCCTGTGGTTCTGGGTGATGTCCGTTCCGTCTTTTAGTTGTATTTTTGAAATGGTTGTATGCGGCAGCGGTCTCCGGTGTTTACCTACGCCGCCATCTTGCTGTCCCCCTCTCTTTTTTTTTTTTTTGTATTTCTTCTTTGAATTGCTTGTTAAGTTTAAGGCCCCTTTTGCTCATTTAATTAAGTTTATTTAACTGATTTACATGACGTCTTTTATATAGAACTTTTTATATCTTTATATATTATTCTTTTACAAAAAATTTTAACCTGAATCTGATCAAACCCTCAGATTTAACTGCCAGTTCACTGGAAATACTGGGACATAGAAACATTGTATGTTAGGGTTCTACCAGGAAGCAGATGGTGAACTCAGATTAGCACAATTAGCAGAGGGGGTATTTTCAAAGGGAAGGCAGAGTGTGATGGGTAGTGCAGGATCCTGGTATGAGCAGCAGAGAAGCCTTTACCAGTAGGAGGGAGAGATTACCAGAACCTGGAAGGGGAGGGAGTTGTGTAGAGCAAGGGTCTTGAGAGAAATTGTCACCTTCAGTCATGAAGCACAGACAAAGCAGGGAGGGAGCCAGGGAAATAAACAGTGTGACCTCATTCTCCTCCCTCCCTCCCTCCCATTCCTACCAGGGCTCCCTATTGGCCAAGCCCAACTGAAGCCAGAGAGCCTGGCTGATATAGTCCCCACAGGTCAGTCTCCTGGGGGCAAAGACCAGAGTGGAGAAGGCTGGAAGAGGACCTGAATGGAGCAAATGAGTAAAATCTGTCACCAGCATGACAAATAATGCCATGAGGATGCAATCAGCAAAATCCAGAATGCAGAAAATTCTCCAGGACTAATAACCTTCTTTTCTCCTTCCTTCCATCAAATAAATTGCCAAGAGGAAAGAAAGGCAGGATGGGGGAAGCTATAAATTAAACAACTTTTTTTCCCTCCCTAACAAATAAATTGCAAAAGGAATAAAAAGAAGGGGAGGGCTATAAATTAAAAGACATTTCAAACAACACAAAGTGTAGATCTTGTTTGGACCTGATTCTAATAAATCACTGTTAAAAAAAATAAGCTTCTGAAGAAATCTGGGAAATTTGAACACAGTCTGGATATTTGAGTATGTGAAAGAATTATTGATGGGTTTTTATTTTTAGAAGTAATGTGCTTATGGAGGGGGGAGAGAATGAATGAATGAATGAATGAATGAATGAATGAGGATGCTTATAGAGATACATACAAAAGTGTCTGGGATTTGCTCCAAAATAATCAAGTGGGGTACAAGGGAATGGGAGGGGGCATGTATGAAATAAGAATGGCTTGTCTGACCAGTGTGGCTCAGTGGTTGAGCTTCAACCTATGAACCAGGAGGTCATGGTTAGATTCCTGGTCAGGGCACCTTGCAGGCTCGATCCCCAGTAGGGGGTGTGCAGGAGGCAGCCAATCTATGATTCTCTCTCATCATTGACATTTCTTTTTCTCTCTCCTTCTCCCTTCCTCTCTGAGATCAATAAAAAATTATTTTTTTAAAAAAAGAAACAAGCATGGCCATGAGTTTATTATCATGAATATGGGGATAGCTACATAGGGTGCATTATCTTTCTCTCTCTACTTTTGTATGTGTTTGACATTTTCCATTAAAAATATTAAAAAGTATCAATACTCATACTTCCCTTGTTTTGCTTGTCATATAGTAATATGTCTTGGATATCATTCAATACCACTGTATACGGAGCTGCTTCTTTCTAATCTTTCAAAAATGTATGTGCATGTGTATCTGTCACAAACATTATGAACAACACCAGGAGGATGCAGTCAGCATATGCATGCCATGTGCTTTTTACACAAATAGTAGCATACTCTACACCAGCGGCCGCCAACCTTTTGGACCTCAGGGACCACTGGTTGGAGACCGCTGCTCCAAAGGTTTCCACAGTACACAATATATCTTGGAGATCACACCACATTGATACAAAGACAGCTTCCACATTCCTTTCCCTTTTTAAAAATAATATGTTTTTATTGGTTTTAGAGGGAGAGGAAAGGAAAGGGGAGAGAAACATTGATTGGCTGCCTCCTGCATCCCCCCTACTAGGAATCGAGCCTGCAATCTGGGCATGTGCCCTGACCAGGAATCGAACTGGGGACCTCTAGCTGCATGGGACAATACTCAACCAACTGAGCCACACCGGCCAGGACTGATTTTTATATTATGTTTAATGGGTAATGCATGGGGGTGGGGGAGGGGAAACCCTATGTTTTCTTCCCATATATTTAGTTACTTTAAACCTTTTTATGTAAAACATAACATACATCATGGCATAAAATATAAAGGTACAACCTAATAACTTGTAAAATGAGCACCTGCATAATCATAATGGTCAAGAAACAGAACATTGCTACCCCCACAAAAGCCCCCAGTATGGTCTTTCCTGCATGATTCATTCATTCTCAGGGCTCAGTATTGTATGTATGTACCATGATTCATTTATCCAGGTGGAATTTATCTTGCCATAGGTTTGTGGTAGGCCTCCAGTTGATTTTCTTTTCAGATGACTAGCAAATTGCGCTAACAATAGTTATTGAGCAATCCATCTTTTGTCCACTGATTTAGATGCCACCTTTATTGTTTATTAAATAACCTTATATATTTTGGTCTACTTTCAGACTCACCCATCTCCATTCATCTCTCTGTCTATTCCTGAGTTCACAATGAATTATTCATCTGACTTTGTAATACACTTTAAGAGGTGGCAGAGTTTGTCTCCCCGGATTTCTCTCTTTTTTCCCCCTGGGACTTTTCTTGAAGTCAGTTTGTTAAGTTCCAAGATAACCTTGTTAGAATATTTATTTGCATCCCATTAAAAGCATAGATTAAGAGATGAAAGATGGCATCTTTTCTTTATTGAATCTTCTAGCCAAAAATGGGAATGTGCCTTTTTCATTTACATAGGTCCTTATGCCACATAATTGACTTTAAAAGTTTTATTCATATGTCTCCTGCACATTTTTTGGTAAAGTAACTCATTCATTTAAACATTTGAATAGTATTCCAATAGTTTCCTGCCATGATGTATTTAATTATTCCACCTTTGAATGGAATTTGAATAAATATGTTTCTAAATTTATTCTATTACAAATAGTGACTGGTCCACATAGATCCTGGCTTATCTCTGCTACAAACATGCACAGATTGGGTTTTCTCAAGATGGCCATAGGAGTATCTCCTATCCCACATGTTCTGACAATGTGACTATTATGGGCTGACTTGTTGCTGCCACCTGGTGGCCAATAGAAACAATGCAAGACCGCTGTTCTCTTTTTTTTTAGAGAAGCTTATTCTCATTCATTCATTCCACAAACATTCACAATCTCTGATAGTGGGGGGTCAAATGTACTTTAAAAAGAGCATATTCTAACGTTACAGTTTTTGTATGCTTTCAAGTATGGTCATGACATATCACTTAGAAGTCAACAATCTCCTACACTTTCTTTCAAAAATCAAAATTCTCTAAAAACTGAGAGACTTTTCATTAGTTTACAAAAGCTGACTCAGTAGCAAAACCTAATCTGAACTGACATAAGACTATTTGTATATTTATTATTACATATTTATTCCTATATAATATGTATTTATTCCCTGGGTAAATATGAATGTTTGGTTATGGGGTGCTATTCTAGACCCCTCTAGGGATGTTATGTAATAGAGAGTCGTTCTCAAAGTGTGGTGCCCAGACCAGCACCAGCAGCATCATTCGGAAACTTGTTAGAAATGGAAATTCTCAGGCCCCATCCAAGACCTATTAAATCAAAAAATTCTGGGGTGGGGTCCAGCCATCTGTGCTTTAACGAGCCCTCCTGGTGATTCTGAGTCATGCACAAGTGTGAGAATCACTAATATAGAGTATGTGTACTGCATTATATTTACAAAATTCTAAAGCCCTGAATTCCAAAGCATACCCTCCCACACCCCCTCCCCCCTAGTTTCAGAGAAAGGATTTCTTGTAGGTCTCTCTTTTGAAATTTCAAGTAACATTAAAGGAACCCATGAGATTTTTATGTTAAAAAGGGAGGCAGAGGTTCCTTGTAGGAAGGGAGAAAGAGTGTAAGAAGAAAAAAATTCCATCGTATTAAGATACCTCCTAATTCATTCATATCCATTCCCATATTGGTAAGCATTTAGAATGTTGCTAATCTTTTGCTATCGAAGATAAAAGCCATGATGAATATCCTTTCCTGCCTGTCTTTTCCTACACAGGGTAAGGTCTTCTCCAGGCAGGTATGCCTCACGGTGGAGTTGCTGAGTCACAGGACACGCACATTCAACTTTCCTAAAACATGCCAATCTTCTCTTCAGACTGGTAGTACCAGTGTTTGGGCCCCCACCCGAGGGTTCCTGGCCTTCCCAGTATTGACAGAGCTGTGGGTGTTTTGTTTTGTTTTTGTCGTTCTGATAGTTGTCAACTTTTCTCTCCTGTCTTTTTAATTTGCATTTCCCTAAAAATTCAGAAGTTGAGCTGCTCTTCAACCAATCTGTTGTTTGGGAATAAACATTTTGCCTTTTAACTTGCCTCTCTACCTTCCAAGCATAGATTTCTAGAACTCCATAAGACCTCTCTGGTCGGAGGCAGTAACACATGAAAAGTGCTCCTTGGTTATTATCACTTGGACTGGGGATATTATAGGCTCTATTTTACAACTCAGGACTGCGAAGCCACTTTTGTTTGTTCTAGGTGGCATCTGGGCACCCCCAGAGGCAAGGGGTGACAAGATGGGTGCAGGGCTGAGGGCCATGGCGCCAGCAGCAACAACAAACATCGAGGGGAAGAAAGCCCACACCTCAGTTTGTAATTTCTCAGATATTATCTTGCTTCATTTTCAAGAGCTGTTTACTGAAGCCCGCCCGTGTACCGGGACGGTAGTGCGTTCTCCCACTTCATGCATTCCACGCAGCCTGCCAAGTGCGCCTCCTCTGTGCCAGGCTCGGTCAGGCCCTGGAAATTCGGATGTAAACAAAACGGATCTGGCCCCCGGTCAGTGTCGCTCACTATCTGTGTTAGTCAGGGCCACCGTAACAAACTGGGTGGCTTAGACAATAGAAACTTATTTTCGCACAATCCTGGAGGTTAGACGTCTGAGACCAAGATGTCAGCAGGTTGTTTCCTTCTTGGCTTGTAGATAGAAGGCCGTCTTCCTCCAGTGTCTCCAGGCGGTCTTTCCTCTGTCTCAAATCTCCTCCTCTTGTAAGGACACCAGTCATACTGGAAGAGAGCCCACCTCACCTATATGAACTGACTTGACCTTACCTCTTTAAAGCCCCTAGTTCTAAATGGAGTCATATTCTGAGGCACTGGGGTTAGGATTGCAACCTACGAATTGGGATAGGCGGGGGGGGACACAGCTCAGCCATAACGCTGTGTAATGGGAGAAGCAGACATTAATCCAAAATTCACAACTACTAGTATATGGAAATTACAGCTGTGGTCCCTGGGGCTGTGAGAGCCAGTGGGGGAAGGGAGTATTGGATGAGGTGCTTGTCGGAAGCCTTCCCTGAAGAAGTGACATTCAGGCTGAGACCTGAAAAAAGGGTGGGGGTTAAGCAGAGGAGGGAACAGCAGAGCAGGCTGAGGGAACAGGATGTGCAGAGAGAGAGTGGTACCTGGCAGGCGTCTGAGAAACCGAAAGGCAGCCAGCAGGGCAGGTTGCTGTGGGACCTCTAGGGATGTAAGCCTTGAACCAGATAAAATCCACCTGGTATTCCTTAAAAAATACAGATCCCTTGCCCTGGCTGGGTGACTCAGTTGGCTGGAACGTCGTCTCGATACACCATAAGGTTTCAGGTTTGATTCCTGGTCAGGGCACATCCCCAGGCTGTGGGATTGATCCCCAGTCAGGATGCATGTGGGAGGCAACAGATCAATGTTTCTCTCTCTCTCCTTCTCCTATCCTCTCTATCTAAAATCAATTTTAAAAAAATGAGAAAATAAGCCCTAGCCGGTTTGGCTCAGTGGATAGAGCATCGGCCTGGGGACTGAAGGGTCCCAGGTTCGATTCTGGTCAAGGGCATGTACCTTGGTTGCAGGCACATCCCCAGTGGGGGGTGTGCAGGAGGCAGCTGATCGATGCTTCTCTCTCATCGATGTTTCTAACTCTCTGTCCCTCTCCCTTTCTCTCTGTAAAAAATCAATAAAATATATATATTTTTTAATGAGAAAATAAAAACACAGATCCCGAGCCTCACTCTAGGTCCACTGAATCAGAATCTCCAAGATGAAGCTGCATTTTTTATTTTGAAAAAATATCAAATCCCTGGAAAAATTGAAAGAAAAGTACAAGGAACACTTGGATACCCTTCACTTATATTCATTGATTGTTAGCGTTTTGGCAATTTATGCTTTTCTTTCTCCTTTCATTGCCCTCCCTTCAGCATGCATT